GACCTGTGTTCAACTCTTAACTACACCGCTTTCCAACCCTGTGACTTTCATGGACCTCAGTTTCCTCTCATGTGAAGTACCTCCTCAAAGATGCTGAGAGACTCAGACAACATGCCCACAGGGTTCAGTACAGTGCCTGCCCTCTATTGAGTGAGGGTAACTGTGTACCAGGAGGAATATTGTTGCTTCAACTCTTCTATTCACAATACTTGACACTGTAGTCAGGCAAAAACAAGTTCCATATTGACTTTGTCAACACAGGCAGAATTTCCAAGCCAAGATGTTTGCTTCCAAAGACAATCTCTTCAAAGATGTTTGAACTATTTTGGCAGAAACAAATGTAATCAACACATTTTTAGTGTCTGTTTCCAAGTTTAAGAAATGTGTGAAAATGCCCCACAAAATATTTTTCACATAAAGATGGCAAAAATACTTTGAAAATTGTGTTTGGTTAACGGCTGCCTTAGAGTTAAATAGAATTAAATGGAGGATAAAAGCAAAAGGTTGAGAGGCTTCAAGTGCTAATGCCCTGAACTGATGGCTGCCTTTAGCAAATGCTCATTTATTTCTTATTCATATACAGGGAAAACTAACCATAGACATAATTATTCTTGTATAGCAAAGGATTTTAAACTTCTGTATGTCCTTCATTTAACTGAAAAGATGAGGCATTATAATACTGACAGAGACCCAAAATCCATGCAATCATTTTATAACTAAATTTTTCACCAACTAGTTATGAAATCCAAATGACTAGAAATAGTAAAAAATGCATTTTCTCTAAAAAGATGAAATATTTGAAAAAAAATGAGTTAGTCAACCGTAACTCAAATGACCTTTGCTTTCAAGATCTGTAGAGGAATGATACCATATGAAAGGTGAAACATTTAGATTTTATCATAGTCCCTGAATTCTAAGATTCTGTAGCCTAACCTTCATAAAGGACTTTGTTAAAGAAAAAAATGAGTATTACATTTCAGTGAACTTGAATATTAATGTATTCTCAAATGTGGAGATGTTCTCAATTTTTTAAGTGTCTATAATGTAAAAGTCAATTGATAAGTATATTCAACCCTTCATTATTCAGACACTGAGAACATAATTAGTACAATGTCCATACTCCTCCTTCTCTTCTTCGCTTCTTTCCTACTTAGGTCTCTGTGCTATCCGTTGTCAATTCACCGAAGGATAAAAGGAGTACAAGGATAGTTCAGTTTTCATTACAGCTACACAGTATGGTCGGGGGAGTTAAAATCATTCATGATCATCATCTTAGAAGCTTAACTTTCAGGTGACTCAGTTTACAGCCATGGTCATCATTTGTTATGAACAAACAATGGGGTGTAATACATGCAGAAAAGAGCTATATTTTATTTCTCCCAGAGTAACAACTTTTGGTTCAGTATATAACAAGTAAATAATGAATATTTGGTAGAGAAATTAAAAAAGGGAGGGATGGAGGAGGAAGTGAGAACACAAAACAAACAAAAACCTATGCATACAAATACATGGATTCATAGAAATTTTAAACTGACTATATGTGGAAAAACTGTGTCAGTTAAATGTTCAGTTTAGTAGATAATTTGGGGTGAAATCTAAACTCTTCCACTTACTGGTTGACTCCTCTGTAAAATGGAGCTAATAACAGAACCATTTCCTTGGCTCACTCTGAAGATTAAATAACAGAATGGTAGAGTGTCTGTTATACAGTAGGATACAACAAATTCCATTATTATTAAGACTAGTATCATGGTCTAGTCCAATATCCTTTCTTTCTAGAAAATAAACCAGAGACCTAGAGAAATGAAGAAGATTGTTGAAGTCACACAGCTCTCTGGAAGCAAAGCTCGACTAGAACTCACACCTCCAGCCTTCCAGCCCATAATCCACATTGCTTATCAGAAAACCCACGTTGAGAAGAAAAGAATGGCAAATGCTGAGCTCGAGTGATACTGGTTCTCAAAATTTAGTGTTTTTAAGAAACATGTGGGAGGGTGCCTGAAACATGTGCAGTGCTCTCTCTTGCCCCACTAGAAGATATTCTCATCGAATTAAATCTGGGGTAAGGTGTTTTCACACACATCCCAGGTGATTCTACTGCAAGGACTCTGGGGTCACATTTTGAGAAGCACTGCTACAGGATGAGAAGGGCCACATGCTCCCTATCCATAGTCATGACCATTAGAATCACCTGCGGAGCCCCACCTGCTCTATGACATTATAATCACTGGAGTGACAACAGGCATCTATATGCTTTAAAGCTCCTCAGGTGACATTTACATGTGGTCAGTTACAGAACCAATAGCCTATAAACAGAGACAACAACCACTTTTGCTGAGATCAATCTAAAGACTGGAATGAGGTGAGATTTTAAAAAGAATGCTCTGTGGGAAAAGCTCACGTGCAAAGGTCAGAGACTGTCGTAAGGTACAGAAAGCACGTAAGTTTAGACAAATAAGGGAGTCTGGGAAGGTATAGACAGTGAGCTCATTGCTCCCTGCCCCCAATCATGGCCCACCCTTGCCACCTCTGTTTATAATACTCACCCTTCAGAGATGAATATGTATTCCTCTAAACATCCACCCCTGCTCTGACTCACATCAATCCCTTTCAGAACTTTGACAATTAATCAAAATGGGATGCAGTAACACAGTTTAACTCAGCTAATGCCACTTACAGTGTTGCTTTAAGGACATTATTTAACCTCTTGGAGTTTTTATTTCCTCATTCCATAAAGAAAAACTGAATATTTTGCCTATTTCATGCAGTTGTTACGATGATCCAAAAACACGTGGCCAAAAGCATTTTTTCAATTCTAAAGCAATGTAAAAATCTAAGGTATTTCTTTCTTTTTTTTAAATTTATACCTCCTTATCCTAGTAAAGGTATACTATGAGTTTCTATTATTTAGGCACTGAATGAGGGGCTGGCTGAGCCACCTCCATAGAACTCCTGAACGTGGAAGGCCACTCTAGGTCAGCATGTGACTGCAAGTAAGGTGATTTAAAGAGGACACAGGCTGGTCACCTATACTAAGACAGACAAATTTCACAGGATCAAGAAAGTTAAGAAAAGTTCAAAGACTTGTTTTACTACTTTATTTGGAAGTAAACTCAAAAGTCATAAAGCCCAATCCTGCATACAAATGTCTCAGAGTAAGAATGGATCAAATAGAGAGGATATGAAAACATTCTTGAAGGAGTAAGTACAAAGAATAGGGGCTATGGCCCATTTCTGGGATGTAATACTGATCAAGGGCTAAAAGCTCTCATTTGCATCTAATTCTCCAATGAAGAATGTAAACTCTAATGCAAAATAAAGAGTTCTGTGCAAAGTTCAAAAGGAAGGTAATGAAGCAAACAGAGTCAAATACCTCAAAGTTAACAGGAAGAATGTCCTAAGTGCAGTAGCTAAGCTATTGGTTCTGACTCTGTGCAGCACTGAATACACTGTCTTTATCTGGACTACAGGGAAGTAGACATCAAACTCCTCAGGTAAATAAAAACTATCCTGCTCACCTTTTACCTAAAATGTGTGAGGCTTTGTTAAGTACATCAATATCACGATTATTTTACAAATTTTAATGGCAGGTTTATGACATATTTTCACATGCACTTTTCATTGAAGTTTCAAAAATTATTAGATACACAATTAGAAAGGAAAAGGGGGCTTATATACCATGAGGAAACAGATTTTAAGAGTTTCCATTAATGAAAACACGTAAGCCTTACTTGAATCCAAATTATGCAAAGAAAAAAAAAACAGTTGGAAAACATATGTGAGCAAACCAAGTGGTTCCATTCATAAACATGTGGCAGCCAAGTCGCTTCCTCTCGCACTGACCTTCATGCTAGACCTACACAGATAATGACATAGCCTGGATGCTTCCTTTGTAAAACGCAGCCACTGTAAAATGTAAATAGAGTTGATGACATAATATTGGCAAGGTGTGGCGGTATATATAAACAGGAACAGCTCAGGAGAACCCGAGGCTAAGGCCGATGATGATTGTGCACACTAGCCCTAATAACAGCCTCATCCTGTCACCATGCAATTGACCTCTGCCCCATGATGCAACGACCTGGCCAAGAATGTTTAACATCACATGTACCACTCACGTCCAGAATTTATGTTAAAAGACAAAGTTAGAAATAGCTTTTAAAAAAAAAGCCATCGAATCCCAACCGGTAACAGATAGAGGAGGTTGCTTGGGAAATGTACTTCTCTGTCAAATAAAACATATTCACTTACATTTTAAAGAAAACTAAAAACCCTAGAGAAGTAACTTGTCTAAAGCTAAAGATCAGTGTTAGGAATAAAGATCTCAACGTCCTGGCAGTCTGTGTCGTATTCAAATTCCTAGGACATGCTGCCCAAATGATTCTGATTTTAGACTAGGATCAGGGAATAACTCATAACAAAAACACAGAATAGATCAGGGCAATTACATCTGCACCCCTCGCCCCCAACATACACACTTGCGGAGACTTGAAAGCAAGATATGAGTGTTTCCGTATATGAAAACTGATAGAGAACTAGACTTTGGCTCCAAACTTATCGATCAGCAAGTCACTACTAATCATGGGATTCTATCCTCCCTGCATTTGTCATGAAGCTCTTGTCCCATCATGACCACTTTCTGATTTAATTTTTGCCTACAGTATTGCTAAGTTTCCAAAGGCTACTCAATGGGAAAAGTGAAGAAACATGAACTAAAGAAATTAAAAAGATGCACATTCTCTTAAAGAGGCAATCCAACAATAACAAAAATGTATGGGCTTTTGAAGTTAAAGTGTGATTAGAGAAAGTGATGTCACAAGAAATAAAACCATAAAAATCAAACCTACAGCTACAAATTAAATGCACCAAGAACTCTACAGCTTTCACATAAACTAATATGGAAATAACTTAAAGAAAAACAAATAGGGGGAACCACAGTCAGATGTGAGCACCTGGAGAACGTACTTACACCTTAAACTCAGGCGCCACATCTCACTTACCTCATTTTCATTTGTGTCCTTGGAAGTAGAGGGCACATTAGTACAGAGGGAATGACATCTTTTTTTTTCAAGCTGAAAATGGTGTATTTCATAAGGATAAAATCTCTCAGTGTTTTGCTTTTCTTGACCACTACTGAAATTTTTTGATGGGTCTTCAGAGAACTCACTTTTTTCAAGTGATCTCTCTGTACCACTGTGAGTGGAACTGACGCTGGCTGCCTTTCGGAAAGAAAAAACATCAGTTTTGCTCTGGAATGTTATTTCTCTTGTGTTGACATCATCTACATGCTTCTTCCTCTTTGTACAATATGGAGTGCTGTCTTTTTCTGAAATCCTTTCATCCAGCTCACTAACTTTTACTTCTGTTTCACTGCCTTCAGCAGGGGAAATGTTCACACGGTAAGGCCAGCTGCTCACAGCACTCGGCAAAAGTTTCTGCTTAACACTGTCGGCTACCACTTCTGCCTTCTCCTCCCGAATACCATCTTCCAGTGTGAGGTCTGGGGCAATAGATTCTTCCCGTGCCAGTCCCCTGGATAAAAGAGCTGGCTGTTCTCTTGAGAGCTGAATGCTGCTCTTCTTCTTTCCCTCATTTTCATTGTTGGGCTCTCCAGGCTCTGTGTCCTTTACAATTTTCTTGATTGGTTTTCTTCTGAAATATTTTCTTCCGGGAGAATATTTTTCAGGGCTCAAAGGAGTTTTGGCAGGATCTAAATATTGTTCTTCTTTCTCAGCTCTTACACATCCACAGACATTCCCCATTGGATTTGCGGGAGAGATCACAGCTCCACAGATTCACTCATTTCCAAATCCAGGGCTTACTCAGATCTTCTCCATTAAATCCCAAAATTCCACTTTGACCTGTAATTCCTCAGACTGTGTGACCACCCTCTTCAGCATGAGGCCATTTTGCTTATGAGAAAGGCGCACGCAAGAAATGCCATGGCATCCTGCCCGGCTGTGTCCCTGTGTCTCATTAGACAGTGTGACTTATTTCTGGCCACCAATCCTCTTAGACAAACATCACTGCTCACTGTCAAACTGCAGCACTGATGAGCCTGCCCGGCAAACCCTTAGCTTTGTCATACAAGGAGGTTCTGACCCTCACCGTAACTTTCAGTTTTCTGAAGTGCAGCTACGCCACCACAGTTTGCGTTAACCTTTGAAACTATTTGTGATTCAACACATGTGAGCGCAAACAGAAAGCAAATATAGTGAGGAGACATTTACCAAAGTGCCTTTCACATTCCATTTCAAAGTGCCTTTCAAATTTCATTTCAGAGAGTCTCTGCTATTTAACTTAATTTTGGTAGTTGAAAAGAGAACTCAAAAATCTCTGTAAAGTACACTAGGAGTTGTATTCAAAACAGCCATAAAAAAAGTAACAGGACAATTTAACAGCTGAAGGAGATATAATAAATGCATAATGCCTAAAATACTCTATTAAGATTGTTTCTAAAACCAATTTTTCAAAATTGTTTGAAATGTTTTTCCTAGCCATTTCCATTATGTGCTCATTAGGATTTTCATGTAAGCAAATTGATAAATTTTACGATTTAAAGCATGGAACACTCAGCCAAAAGAAACACTTGCGTGTTCTCTTACATGAATTAAGGCAGTTAAACTTTATATGTAACTTTTACAATTGTACCTTAGTTAAATATTATATAGTTTTTCTAGGGCCTTGCTATAAAAATAATGAGCCAGCATGGAACCTGATTATCTAAGGTGTGCATATTTCTAACACTGAGTCATAGCTAGGGCAAAAAGGAAATCAGTACAGCATGGCTGGACCTACACGTAAGCAGAAATCATCTAATAAAAATAAATTGCTAATTGCTTTTTTCTATGTAATGTTTGGACTGATTAAAAGATGAAACTCGTTGGGTTTTTCTAAATACGAATATAGTTAAAGAGTCAGGTTAGCAACATTGTCAATATTTCTCAATAACAGGCCTACATGGTGAGCTTTTCCATGACCATTTAAAGAGAAAATTAAACCAACTTCCATGGCAAAAAGTGAATATCCCAGAAGACAAGCTGGCAAAAATAAAGCCTCTGATTTGTTTTTTTGTTGTTCATTTTTTTATTTGATTTTCAGTATCTTCAATGGCAATTAAACATTTTCCAAGAGAATGTAAAAGCAGAACGGCTGGCATCCGCACCCACACAATGGAGGTGCAGCCAGTGATTTGCACACCACCTGCCCCACCCCCAACCCTGCCACACAGAACAGCTGTCCAGGCTCAGACCATTGCACAGCACTCCCTGCCTCAGTAATGGCCCAGCTTTACCCTGTGCTTGGTAGATGGCCATCACCTTGCAAAGCCAATCTGTAATATCAGTGAAAATTTCCCTTACTCTCTAAGGCCTTCCTGATCCTACTACTAGGAAGGAGACTCCTTCCTCTACATCCCTATTTGTATTTATATCACAATAAATTTACTCCCCTAGATTATACTCAGTTTTATGAACATTCTCCCAATAGACAGAATTACATATTTCATCATTTTAGTACCTCCAGATCTAGCATATGGTAGCTAATGATACAGGAGTGCTGTGTTGATACTGCTCACCTTCCACCAGGCTGATTAGAAAATAGATTCAATGTGTGATGCTCTCAACAGATAGTTTAAAATAAACTGGTCTTCTGAAACTACTTCCCTTACTTATATAAAGTACAGAGAGAAAGAAGAAAAAAAACTAAGCCCAGTCACTTTGAATGACTGCCACTACTATAAATAGCCTTGTATCTTGGCATGACCAGTAAAATCGTTCTAATATTAAATTATCATAGTACTAAAAAAATGGCATTTCATCTAAATAAAGGAACATTTCTGTTTTACTGAAACATTGATGTGTTTCATTTAAATAGGTCTTGGTCTAATTTTTAAATATTGTTGATAATGCAACAGTCATTATCTTCTAATTCAGGTGCTAAAACACAGTGGTCCTAACAGATCATATTAGAATCAAAACTTCTCTTGGTTCTTCTGTAGCTGGTCCTCCTCTCTTCTCCAAAAACACCTGAACCCCAAAGAACTTTCTTAATACATTGTTCTTTTTCTGAATGATATTTCACTTAAGTTTTCTCAGACTTACGGTCTAAACATACTACTTCTAATTCACAATCATTTACTCATATTTTGGTCTGTTGTATTTTCTGGTTTCTGCTCCCAGGAGCGTGGAAGTATTTTCTCCATGGTCTCTAATGTCTTCCTTGTATACAAATTCTTAACCTGTATTCAGTCTTAAATTTCTCATGCTCGCTAGTAGCATTTCATACTGCTCACTATGCCTTTCCACCTGAAATTCTCTTCCCTTGATTTCATCAGTATTACACATCCTTGTCGTTTCACCCATCTCATCAAACGTTCTTTTTGTTTCCCCAAATGGATCTTCTTCCTCCTGCACCCCTAATCATGAGCCCTCCCCCAAAGTGCTGTCCTTTGCTCTAGGCTCTTCTCCATGTATGCGCATCTCTTAGATCCCCTAAAGATCCCTTGTCTCTGACAGATTCAATGGCCACTTGTATACTGGTAACTTCCAAGTTTATCTGTACCTTTGACTTCTCAGCTCTGCTCTGCTCACAGATCTCCCACTGCTGAGCAGACAAATGGACAGGATGTCCCACCATGCCATCGAACCTGCCAAGATCTTTAGTTTTGCCCTTACCATCATCCCCATTTCTCTCAATAGTTTGGTTTTTTCTTGGTTGGTCAGTTGGTTTTTACCTCCCAGGCTGAAAGTTTACAGTCATCACCTTTGCTCCCTCTCCTTCACCTTCTATTCACTATCACCAAGTTCCTTTCTTTCTTCCTTCAAAATGTCATCTCTTGGATTCAATTGTTCATCCCCACCTGAGTCTTGGCCTTTATCACTTTACCCAGAGATCAACACCTCAACTTCTTCCATTATCTCCCTGACTGTGGATTCTGCTCATTTCAATTATTTTACACAGAACTGACATGGAGAGTTTCCTAAAAACACCACTTTTCAGGTGCAGAATGAGTAAGTGGTTCATTCAGTGCCAGCACAGCCGCACATAAAAGAGCCCATAATGAAACTCAGCTCTTCCTCCCTCCAAAACCTGAGGGGTTTCCCTCTGCCCCACAGGGCTTCTTACTCTGAAATTCAAAACCCAGACACAGCCTGTCTTACCAGTTCTGTCGGTAACGGTAATGATGTGATTTGGCTCCCTGTCCCAATAGGCCTCTAACCCTCCAAAGTGGGGTTCTTGCAGTTTCAACTCTACTAAAAGTTGAGGTACCTAAACCACTTAGGGCTAAAGAATCCCTGAGAAAGTGGCCAAAGAACTCCATATGAAATCAGCTTCTGGCCAGTTCTACTCAGTCTTTACCCAATTCTGGTAACAAGGTCTGGCTCCATGCCCAAATCCCTGTCTTGGTTTAACGCTCAGTGCTCTGGGTCCCATAAGGATGGGGTCCTCTAAAAACGTAAACTCACAGGCTTTGAGGGTCCTGCCCCCGGTTCCTGTTTCTGGATCTCCCTGACATCAATACCCAGCTGAGTGAGTATTCACCTATATTAGCTTCCCTGTAGTCTGGAGGCCTGACACCTGGTTGGTTACCTGGGTCTCCTGGCACCTGAGTCTGCCCTTCTGCTTTCTGGTTGCTACATCTTTGCTCAGCTGCCTGTTCAAAACCTGGAACTTACCTAGACTCTAATTCCTCTAACTCTCTATACCTGTCATATTTTCCCTATTCCCCAGTGAGTCCCAAGTACATTATTTTCCACCATTCCCCTACAAATCCTATACCCCAGTCAGTTGCTTTTTAAAATCCTCACCTAAGGAAGGGGGAGAGAGAGAATAAAACATCAACTAGCTGCCTCCTGTCCACGCCCCAACCAGGGATCGAACCCACCACCTTTTGGTGAACAGGACAATATTCCAACCAATTTTGTTAGCCACTTGGCCAGGGCCCCCAATCAAATTTTAGAAAGAAAAAATAAATCAAACTCCTCTCAAAATCTGGTTTAAAATTCCAGCTCCTTTCTGAAGCTGGCAAGTTATCTATCTCTCCCCCTTTCAAGGCCCAGCTGCACGGCAGTCAGTCAGTGAGGGGTGTCGCATGCCTGCTGTGGGTCAGGCTCTGCTGCACACAGAACACCCTGTGAGCGGCCACGGCATCACTGAACTACAGCAAGTTCCAAAATTAGGGCTCTGCTTTTTGAATGAAGATGGTTTTGTCAAAATGTACCATTTTACAAAAACTAAAAATCAAAAGCAACCCTCAACTGGCATGAGTTTATTAGAGAATAATTCATTGCTGATCAATTTTTATTTATTTGCATTTACTCTCCTAAAGTCTCATTTGAAAAAGTGTAGTTCTATAGAAAAACAGGAATACTAATTCAGGAGATCTCTTTATCATGTTTATACTGCCATCTAGTGTCTATCAATAAAAGAAAATAGTTTGCATAGTTGGGAAGCCATAACATCAATGGAAACCATTCTAAATTAAGGATTGAGTAATAAAATTTTCATATATCTAAGTCAGGTAATACTTCCAATAAATAAAAAAAAGTGTTCGTATTCAATTAAAAAGAATCTTGTCTTCCAACTGTGAGATTACGAGTGTTGTCCTAACGACAGTCAAGGTTATCAACAACAGGAAATGGAGCACCAGACTCATAAGTAGCTACTTGAAAGGAGTAATACAAATATATTGTTTAAGAAAAGAAACCTAAAATTTATTTCCTCCCATAGTATATGTATGTGTAATTCACTTTTGAGGTGAACAATCTGAAAACTAGCAAAAAGAAGCTAAAAGAAATGACAATCAAGGAAAATTAAGCTTACCTGAAAGTGCAAAATTATTGTCCATATTAATCCCAAAGTCAATTTGGGATTTCCGTCTGTTATGTCATCATTTCTAATATTCACTAATTTCACCTGGGTTATTTGTGAAGAAGAGAGAAAACAACCTGTTTTTTAAACCATCAAATGACTTATCTTTACCTATATTAAAGCAATTCTAAGTTATACAAAGAAAAAAACTGAATGATTCAAATACCATAATCCTCAAAATATTGTTTTACTTTCTATCTTCACACATTTTAGATTG